TTGTTTTAAACTAACATTTATAAACTATAAGATTTTTTTTTTTTTTTTACATTGTAATAATTAAAGGATTTATCGCAACGTTTATACAAGATGTAAATATCTGTTGATAAGGTCATGATAAACTAACTATTTTGTCACCATAACTATAAATATAAAATAAGGACAAATGATTATAAACGAAAAATATAAATGAAACGTAATCGATGGTAAACGCGTTAAAACAGATTGCGGATAACGATCGAGCAGCCACGCTGATATCTAAATCGTCACCCACTCTCACACCTACAAGTGCAAGTCGAATTCGCTTAAAGTTGCTCCACTTTACCATGAAAATTATTCTGTTTGAGAATTAAACAGGATAACCTATGGTAAAGTATACTAAATTTATTCGTACATTCTTCGTGTTTCTCGGGCGATTATTATATATTCTGTTATGATTGCTATTGCAAATTTTCACGAGTTCGTTTAACTTATCTCTAAGCACAAATAATTTACATATAAACTTTACGAATATGTTTCGATCATTATTGATTTTACTTTCTAAAAAATTTAAGATTTTCAGAATATAAAGGAGATGTGACAAAGCTTTAAGGCATAATTTCATATTGAAAGCATCTATATGAAACTTTAATAAGTACGAAGGTCACTTGTATTGGAATAAGTAAAAACTAATGGATGGATGCTCGTTTCATTTTGACAAAATATATTTATTATAACTTATTAGGCATAGATTTAATTAAATCTTTGAGGAAGTATATTACACTATTATCCGACCTTCCCTTCCTATACATTTTTCCCGCAAATTTTCCAAATGCACAAGAATCTGGAATTCTTATAATCTAACACTTATGATATGCTTACATTTTCATTGAAATACTGTATAATTAATTAAGTTTTTTCATTTTTTTTTTATCAAATTTCTTGATGTAGTTGAAAATCATCATATTTTGACAATCCAATGTTTCGTAGATATAATTATTTTTTTAAAGATAAGATATTGTCATTATTAATTATCCTATTTATCGCTTCTACAGATGAATAATTGAGTTACTTTAAGAATTTCATAAGAATTTATAAGGGAATCCAATTAAAAAATTTATCTAACTTATACAAGCGTAATATAGTAATTAAAAATGTATTTTTTATTTTTATTTTTATTATTTTTTATTTTTATTTTTTTTTTAAATATTGCACATAAAACGAGCATTCTAATTAATGTTCAGATGTTATAAAGTTCTTTATCAAAGACTTACTTAAAACCAATATTTTAACATGATACTTTGTTTAAGCGTTAAATTGATTAATATATTAATTTATCACTGATTTATATATTTGTAAATTGTCTATTTGTAAATTTCTCGCAAACTCATTGATGAATTATTAAAATTAGAAGCTTATTAAGTAGCTCAATCATTTCACAATAATGAAACAACACTCTTAGTGCAGATTATGTACACACACATGTATACACACATGTATATATCTTATTTATTTATGCCTACCTAGAGTACTTATACGTATAAATATATCAAAGAGCGGTATCCTTTCATTGACCACAAAAGCTGAAAAATGCCCACATAAACAATCATTGGTTGAGAGACTCGAGCTCGAGCTTAGAATTCGCCCGAATGACCCAAATAGCATAAATTTCGAGACAAAACGCGATAGCCATTGGACTTTAATGAAAAGCCGTCGATCATGAATAGTGTAACCTAACTGGAATAAACGGCGCTCCTCTTCCTGCCTCCGAATATCCTGACAGGTGCGTCGCCATACGAAAAGTCTCTCTTCTCCTGACCTCGCTCGCACCATTCAACTTGCACCGTACAACGTCGAATCCACTTTACGTATCCCATTATCTGCCGACGACACGACGGAGCCATAATCGCTCTGCGCCGCTATGCGTCAGCCGACGGATGTGACGCAATGGCGCTCAGGAGCTTGCAACTGCACGAGCTTCGCTCCCATCGCATCATCGCCGCGCCTCTCATCAGCGGATTCGGGTCGTATTTAGGAAAGCCAGCGATAGTGATCCAAACTGATACAGATTTCAAGCTAAATTCCACCTCTCCCCCCCCCCCATTGTAACGCTAGATTGAGTGGTTATTTATGATTTTACGCAGTGTGGGTCGAGCGGAAAGGCTGACATTTGAAGTAACGTATATTTCGAAGTAGAGCGTCCGTGTGGCGGCACGATTATTTATACGAGCGTGAATAATTAACGGGAAAAGTCGAAGGGCGGGGAGGGCAAGCGATCAGTAATCATACGTACATTTTTATTTTATAGGTATAATATATAATGTGATGAGCCACGCTGATAATCTTACATCAAATTACATTACATAAAATATGTTATTAATAACGTAATTGGTATGGTCTTATCAACGATCAACAAATATGTTGTAAATAAATTTCAGCGTTTAGATTGAAATTTCGCAATCTTTTTATGCTATATTAATTGACGAAATATGTTTTCGATATGAATGATAGATCAAATGATCGCACAATTTTACAAAAGTTTGCAACTACAGTTCTCTTAAAATGAAACGACGATTCTTTAAAATAAATAATGACTTCTAATACATTTACGAATTACGATTATAAATATTATATACTCGTAATATAGTTGATAATAATTTCACTTATAATGAAAATCTACCTTCATTGATAATTGAGAAAAAAAAAAAGTTCCTGTCTAATTTCTATTTTGATTGCAGACCTCATTATGAATCCTTATCGTTCAATTTAAATCTTATCATACAATATTGAATATAATTGCTTACAAATTATTGCTATTAATAAACTTGAAATTTTATGCGATATGCCGCATTTTCAATTCAACCTGCTACATTATAATTAAACGTCGTAATTAAACAGTGTAAAAGTGAATGTATTAAGTTTCACCTCAAATAACAATATCAATAAGACATCCATACCACCAACACCTATTCGTGCATGCAAACTAAAGAATATTGATTAAATAATAAAATATTGCATAAGAAAGCCCTTATAGGGTAATGGCATTATGAAAAAAATAAAAAAAAAACCCTTCCTGTAATTAAGATTCTACCGAGAAGAAAAATTATCTAGATTTTATTAAGTATCCTTTAACCAGTTTATCACGATTTAAACTACAAAGTTCATTATATAATTTGATTACGAACATCGACTTCATCATGAAATCATATTCTTTTCTTTTTTCCAATAGCATGAAACTTGGAAATTGGTTCTCCTTTACTGGCTCACTAACTGATAAGCATAAGGATAAAATAATGCATGTCGGGATGAAAATGCTTCTTTTGAATGCGACAATACAACTGTTCTCTTCATTTGCAAAAAAAAAAAAAAAAAAAAAAAAAAAAAAAAAATAACAAAAACTCGGTACTACGCTCCAAGTCGCGCTGATATCAAAGAACTGCTCTGTCAATAATATTAGTGATAAACAATAGACGGCACATTTTTAATTTTTATCTAAGCATCTCAAATTTCTCTTCTCCATAGAAAGAAATATTTTTAAAATCACAATTAATTATTGATTAATTACACTTAAAAAGTAGTATCTATTCGTTGATCTTAAATATGCGTCAAAACATGTATAAATAATGTCAGGTGAATTTTTCATAAAATGAGTATTTTATGGTAAATCATTATTATACGAATGTGATTTTGTATTAGTAGGAAAATTTAGTCAACGGCGTAATTACAATCAATAATTTCTATTACAAAAACTTTCTTCTCAATGCATAATTTTAATGCGCTGTAAGTGATCGATTATATTTCGTGTTTCACTTGTGCATGATTGTTGCCGACATGATATGCTAAACGTGTACTTTTTATAGATAACGTCTTACATTTCACAAGTGCAAACTTATCGGCAAATTACTTTTGAAATCTTAACATAGATCGGCATGGTAGACTATCAAATTCATAATATAAAATCCCAAGTTTCCATCATCCTATGAATAATCGTCCATCTTCAATTTACAAATTGATTTAGCTCGAAAAACTAATTAATTAATAATACTTCACGACCAAACTAGACTTGATATTAATTACATCGTCTTCGTCACGCGATTAGCCAAAGTGACAAGCACATAAGAAAAAGGTGACCGATCGACTCATCTCGTACAATGAAGATCCGATGCATAAAGCAAAGCTTCTGGTACGGAAATTGTGCAACGACAAATACATGCCAATCGCCTCGTTGATTAGCGTTCATTCACGATTGAATTTGAAATGCTTTCGAAATCTACCGGCTTTCTCTCGCTCCGGTTAGCTCAAGTCCCTCAATTTACGGACTGCCGATATCCCGTAGGATCCGTGCATTTCTATCGCGACTGCACAATGCAACAACCTCGAGCGCTTTTCCACGTACTTATGCCAATAATTACGCCCGCGTCGCGTGGCCTTGGACGACAGCCGGAGGAATGGCCGTAAGGACCTACCTATGCCCGCATCCCCGGGAAGCTTGCAGTGATTCTCCGATCGGAGCCGACGGGCTGCGAGCGAACGCGAATTCTAATGCTCCCACCGCCGACGTCCCTCACGAGCTCGAGCACTCGCCGCCGTCCACTGGACAAACGAGCCCAATTGCCCGATCGTCTCCGTCGACGACGCCGCTCGAGCGCTTCGTGTCGCTCCTCTTTCGCTCCCTCTCCCAGTCGCCCCTCTCCGTAACTCTCTCCTCTCACCCCCCCCCCCCCCCCCCCCCCCCC